CAACGTACTACACAGTACAATCAGCCACACTCGAAACAACGGACACAGACAACAATACGCACTACAATGCAGTCGCATGCATTGAACAACCAAGACACTTAAAGACTAAAGAGATAGAAAACCTATTCAGTCCAAAGTTTTTGGAACAAAAGTCTGGATGATACTCTTCCGAGAATCACTCACTCAAAGTCCAGCGTTGTCGTTCCGCTGCCCCCGAAGTTTCTCTTCCAGGAAACCTCGCGTCTTCAATTGGCCGCTCTCCAAGCTCCAAACTTCTTCGCCCGAAACACGTCGGCTTCACACACGCAGCTGTTGCCACACGCCTTCGCTTGACAGCGGTAGACACACGCTCTTGCCTGTAGCTCGAGCCTTCACCCCTCAGGTGGAAATCCTCTTCTTCTCCTGCTTTGTCACTACGGACAAAACCTTCGCCGACTACACGTCGGAATACCCTACGCGCTCTGGCGCTAACTTCCGTCTTCTCCTGATCTCTCATCTCGGCTGCTCGATTAAATACCTTCCGCGCGAGATTTCAGAAAGTTCTCTTCATTTCGTCGGCGCGATGCGCAGCGAAGGCTGGGGGAAAGGGCGAGACAATACGGGGGCCGTCCGCGACGGATGACTCAACCCGGCATCACCAAGCCCCTTTCCATCGAGAAACTTCGAGGGCTTGCTCGGCCGCCGATGTGGGGTGAGGAGGTTCGTCGACGAACCTACGCTTTCGAGGGGAGAAGGATGCGCGCCCGGGGAGTCTACGGATTCTTGTTTTCTTTTTTTATCGTTGACCTCTCGGCGCTTCGTCGCGAGAATTTGGCGGCGCGCCCTTTTTTGAGCGCTCGGATTGTGACACTGCCCCCCACTTTAAGAATATTATCTCATAATATTCAAAACCACACAAACGAGCACGAACAGTCCCCACACTCTGAAAGACTGTAACATAGTCCGTCGCTCATTACACGTCACATTCACAATAGATCACTCAATACAATTGTACATTGTAATTCAATCTCACAGCACATGAAATATAACCGCAGGTACATGAGTGCAACACTCCATCACATATCCCAAACAATACAAATGTACAAAGTTCTCTCATTACAACAATTATACAATCACATCACCGTAACAAACATTTTGACTCACTCGACATACATTTGTAACACAGGATAACAACCACATTAACTTAACATATAGCACTGTCGAACACATTCCGAATCGACCTCAGCACCTATCCTGGGCACTTCTAGTGGCGCTTGCGCCCTTTCTTGCGGTGCTCTCTCGATCTCTTCTTATTGTTCCTCGTTTTGTTCCGGCGAGCCCTTTCCATCAGTGGTATCTGAGGCGGCGTCTCAGCCATCGTTGTCACTTCCAACATTGTTAACGGGTCATAACGCTCAACCGATCTTGTCCGGTTATTCACCCGCTTGTTCATGTCACGACATTGGGCCTGGCTGGCCGACTCCGTCACCTTTACACTATCGGTCGGTTGAGGTCGTGCCGACGTAAGTACAGCTGCCCAGCACGTGAACTCGTTCAACACGTTGATCTTTTCATTCACTGTCTCTTGCACCCGGGCTTCACCTGGGGCTCGAGTGAAATCCTTCACGGGGTTTTTCTCCGCTGTATCTCGCGATCCTTGTGTCGGCGGGGGCTCTATCTTAGGTTCTTTTCCCAAACGTTCTGGATCATTCAGCCCTCGCGCCCCGTCGATGTTTCCGATGACGAGGTCGTACAGGGGGGTCGTCATGCATAGAGCGGTAACCTTCCCGCTGAAGTACGGGATTTCGACCTCAATTTCTGCTTCGGGAAGCATCCGAACCGTACGGTCAATTAGGCAAACCGGTTTCGTTTTGCCTGTTAACTCACTTTCCCGTACCGAATTTCTCCGCACGATAACAGTGGAGCTGCCAGTATCTCTTAACACCGTAATCTTTTTGTCCGCAACTTTTCCAGGCAGCGTTGGCATTCCCTTCGAAACACCGGTTGGCTGTTTTGTCGTTACAGCACCCACAATAGGGATTTTCTCCCCATTTTTCAACTCTACAAATCGGTCGGTGACGGCATTATCATCGGATTTCGGTGCTGCTAGCACACAGGACACCTGGTGAGTTTGACTCGCTCCGTTTTGACATGCGTCTGCTTTGTGCCCAGTCTGACCACACTTGAAACATTTTACTACCGTAGGGCTAGTAAAGTTAGTACGACAGTTGTTTGCGCGATGACCCACTCGGTTACACAGAAAACATCGCGGAATGCCCTCCGGTGCACGCTTCTTTTCTTCGGGAGCCGATTTCTTCGAATCTTCAGGACACTCCTTCTTGACCCTGGCCAAATTAGTTCCACCTTGCGCTTCCAAGAATTGATCAGCCAATTCAAGCATGCCTTCAAGTGACTCAGCCTTCCTCTCTTTCAAGTACTGCGACAGGCTCGGGTGGCAACTAGTAAGAAATTGTTCTCTAATTAGGAGCTCTCTAAGCTCATCGTACTCCTGCGCTGTCCCTGAAAGGTCAATCCATCTGTCGAAATAATGGCCAAGTCGGGCGGCATACTGCGTAGCCGTCTCACCATCAGCTGGCTTTCCTGTCCGAAATCTGTCCCGGAATCCTTCCACAGTAAATCTAAATCGCTTCAGCAAAGCAGTTTTCACCTTTCCATAGTTGGCTGCATCGGTCGGCGTCAGCCTACCGTACACACTGAGCGCTTCACCACTCAAGCAAGTACTCAAAGCAGTTGCCCATTGAAGTTCCGGCCAATTCTGGCTCCTCGCAATCGTCTCAAATCGGTGAAGGTACGCAACAAGGTCGTCCTTGCTTTCATCAAACACTACGAGCAGCTTGCTTGGGTTCAAGCGGAAGCCATGGTCCTCTCGTTCGCTGCTTTCAACTCTAGGCTGAACCGGAGTTTCACTTCGCTGTTGCAAACGGAGCCGCTCGAGTTCTATCTCGTGCTGTCGCTGCCGTTCCCTTTCCTCTCTTTCTTATTTCGCCCTCTCAGCTGCCAGTCTTTCTCTCTCCAGCTCCAACTTCAATTGCTGCTCTCTTTCTTCTCTCAGCTGTCGCTCCTTTGCCTCTCTTTCTTCTTCGCCCCTTCGGCTGCCAACTTTTCTCTCTCCAGCTCCAACTTCAATTGCTGCTCTCTTTCTTCTTTCAGCTGTCGCTCCTTTGCCTCTCTTTCTTCTTACGCCATCTCAGCGGCCAGCCTTTCTCTCTCCAACTCAGCTGCTTTTTCTTCCTTGGCTCTCTCAGCTGCCAACCTCTCTCTCTCCACCGCCTCTTTCTCCTTCTGGCTTACCCACTTCCGTAGTTCGACGCCAGAAAGACCCATCTTCTCACGAAGAGCAACTAACTTTTCGAGATCCATGGTGTCTCGCAAATAAAGTCTTGCCGCGTGTAAAAAGTATCTGCCTAAATCAGTCTATCGGAACACTGCCCTGCACTCGTTAACGAGAACACTGAACAACACACAAAGTCGTTCCGATAGCAGTATCAACAACTCGAGGCTCTTTCTTACTACTTTGGACACACTGTGCACCAAAAGGGCCTAGTCGTGGACGCCAGATTAATTGTCACGGGTTCCATTAATTCAGGAGGCGATCGCAGGGCTAATTCCAAGGGCCGAAGTATCGGCCCCCCGAACCGCACCACGAAAGCGTGGACAATTTAGAAGTGGTCCTTTTTAGCGCCAGCGGACGCCGGCTGTGGCCCAAAGAACAAGTCAGAGCTGAGAGTTGATAAACAAAACAAAATTGTATTCTCAATAGTGGCAGATCAAAAACAATACACAAGTCTGCACACTCCACAATAGTTGAATACAATATGTCACCAATCAAACAACGTACTACACAGTACAACCAGCCACACTCGAAACAACGGACACAGACAACAATACGCACTACAATGCAGTTGCATGCATTGAACAACCAAGACACTTAAAGACTAAAGAGATATAAAACCTATTCAGTCCAAAGTTCTTGGAACCAAAGTCTAGATGATACTCTTCCGAGAATCATTCACTCAAAGCCCAGCGTTGTTGTCGTTCCGCTGCCCTTGAAGTTTCTCTTCCTGGAAACCTCGCGTCTTCAATTGGCCGCTTTCCAAGCTCCAAACTTCTTCGCCCGAAACACGTCGGCTTCACACACGCAGCTGTTGCCACACGTCTTCGCTTGACAGCGGTAGACACACGCTCTTGCCTGTAGCTCGAGCCTTCACCCCTCAGGTGGAAATCCTCTTCTTCTCCTGCTTTGTCACTACGGACAAAACCTTCGCCGACTACACGGCGGAATACCCTATGCGCTCTGGCGCTAACTTCCGTCTTCTCCTGATCTCTCATCTCGGCTGCTCGATTAAATACCTTCCGTGCGAGATTCCAGAAAGTTCTCTTCATTTCGTCGGCGCGATGCGCAGCGAAGGCTGGGGGAAAGGGCGAGACGATACGGGGGGGCCGTCCGCGACGGATGACTCAACCCGGCATCACCACGCCCCTTTCCATCGAGAAACTTCGAGGGCTTGCTCGGCCGCCGATGTGGGGTGAGGATGTTCGTCGGCGAACCTACACTTCTGAGGGGAGAAGGATGCACGCCCGGGGAGTCTACGGATGCTTGTTTTCTTTTTTTATCGTTGATCTCTCGGCGCTTCGTCGGGAGAATTTGGCGGCGCGCCCTTTTTTGAGCGCTCGGTTTGTGACAGCGTGGCACAGTCGCGCCTAAAAAGAGTTGCATATCTGCAGGCACGTTTGACCTGTTTCTGTATTTACTTTGAATTATGGCCAGACTAAACTAAAAAAAATGGAAAAAGAAAGCGATTGAGTGTTTCACGGATGATAGAAGTGGCATCGCGGATCCCCTAGGGTCCGTGGACCCCCATTTGAGAACCACTGTATTACACCATACTTCATAACCATATGTTCGTTTTGGTACGTTAAACTGGCGGATTACATTTACTCTTTCTTTCCTCTCCTCACTTCCGCTCTCGTAACAATTAGTTGCATGTGCTTGCTTGCAGCCGAGCATAGATATCAGGGCGGCTGTGAGAAAAGACCGGGGCCTTCCTGTCTTGGTGGAGCTGCTCCGGATGGAAGTGGACAGGGTTGTGTGTGCAGTGGCGACGGCATTGCGCAACCTTGCCATGGATCAGCGGAACAAGGAGCTGATCGGTGAGTTGTGAAGCCCCTTTCTTGCGAGGTGGGCTGGGATTTGTTTTGCTTATTTACACTTCCTCGAATACTCTGGGGAGTGGGATTCTACACGAGTGATAGCTTAATGCTTCTGCAGTTTAAGGTGCACATAACGCGCCCTCTCATGAAGTGCAACCTGAAGGGACCGGGAAAATGTGTTCCATTCAACTGGAGTTTCGTTTACTGAGGGGTGAACAGGAGTGCAGAATGGAAGTACAAGGCCCATCATATCACAGGTAGTTGTTTCATTTAATTAGCAGTTTCGTTTAACAGATTTTTATTTATTGAGAGTGGCCTATAAGGGAATATCTAGAAGGGTCGGAGAAGATGGTTACCATATTTATTCAAATATAAGTCATTCTTTTTTTTTTTTTTTTTCTGAAAGTGTTGCCTATAACCAGCTATTGACCTATATTCATGACCAAAGAATCTCGACCTATATTCACGATCAAACCAAAAACCAAAAGCGCCAAGATTGTGGCGTTCAACTGCTATGCCCTCTGTTCTTCAAGCAGTTCCTGCTGCAAATGTACCATAAGATCTGAACTAAAGACCCCCTTCCTCATTTTCGACTACCTAAGTAATTGTGAAAAAAGTTTTTCATACAATAGCCGTATACCGCCCCCGTGAAATGCAGCCGCTCCGTTGTGTTTGCAATGAAACCCACGATTTCCCAAGGTATTGGCCCTGAAGTCCCTAGCCCGCTAGCCGTGCTTCCGGCACGTAGCCCCACTGACACTGGCCTGAGGCCTCGCCGCCTCGCACTTTGTCCATTGTACGATTGGCGTGATGGGGGGACAGTTCACATTTGCTTTAGGCGCTGCACCCTACTTCCTAGACGATGTCAAGTTGACAGCGCTACACAGGTGACTTGAAGTGCCAAGTAGTACTTTTTACCGAGGACTCAAGCAATCGTGCTGTGCAGTGCGAGTGTTGTGTAAATGAGATTTGGATTAGGGGTTAGCGAAAGCAGCAGGACCGTCTGTTTGCTTGCAAATGTCAGCGTCCTGCCTTTTGCGGCCCAGCAATCAGCAGCAGTGGCAGCAAGGACGACGTCGTTCGGAAAGTCGTGGATTAGGCTTGCGCGAATAGTGAATTTTAGGTTCGAAGCGAGTTCGAAGTGAATAGTGATTCTGAACGAATAATTTCGAATTGAATTCGAGTGGTATATATGACATATGAAAAAAAGGAATATTTATCATGACCTAACTAACCTACACAATATTTCTTTTGAAGTGAAATAGGGGCTCTATGCAAATGCCTTTTTTTTTTTTCGTTCAAAGGAAGTGTAAACAACCTTGAGTAGTAGTTTCGGTAGGATGCGAGTGATAACCTGTAAGATACTTAACGTTTTAATATTTATTATACTCGGATCATATAAGTCATCATAACAAGCTTAATAAAATGAAGAATTGATTTGAGGGTAACATGTTTTTTTAAAGGGGCCCTGCAACACTTCTTCAAGTAACCATGGAGCTAGTAAACATGCTTGCTGCCTCGCAAATTTACCGCCGCAAAGTTTCTAGAATTAGTCCAGTATGAGCGGAGTTCCAAAAATTTGTTGCACGCTGCAATTGCATTCGCTCCTCATCCCGACAAAATAGCTGGAAGTTAAGCAGAGAGGAATGTCATATGGCGAAAGAAAATACATCACACACCTCGTGAACTTGAGCACTTTTTTTTTTTCTTGGAATTCGCGCCTTTTCAGTGTGATCCCGCACGTACTCATGGACAAGCGGCGGTCTCCTGCGGCGGCCTCGGTAACGACGAGCACGCCATGCTCAAATCAGCCTATGGCTGTGACAAGTGATTTTTGACCTTGTAGTGTGATTTGCCGAGGGAAGAAAGCAACCTTAAGCTTTGAAAATTTATTGTGAAATACAGGCTGCGTGCTTTGCTATAATATTTGCTTGCGTATTCTCGGTAGCCTCGAGTACCAATCGGCAGTGTCTTCTGACCACGTTTGATAAGTGTTGCACAGCCCTTTTAAATTAGATGGGAAACTTTGTGGCAAAACGAATTTTCTTTGGAAAGGTGTTTTCACAGCTTGGCACTCCTACATTGCAGTGAAACTGTCTTTACAGGCGGTAACATGCAGATTAATATACACTTATTCGTTCATTGCGAATACTTCCAAAATATTCAATAAATGAAATTCGAATCGAAGTGAATTCGAATACTGAACTGTTCATTCGAATATTTGAAGCATTCAAAAATTCACACAAGCCTATCGCGGATGCTTGCGAAGAGTCCAATAACGACATCATCTTGGAAATCTGACAAGATGACGGCCCCGGCAGTGATTAGGGTGCTAAGTTATGGCAATAAAGGTGCGCTACGTTTCGATTTGCCTGTTTCTAAACTAAAAAAAAAAACAATGGTTGACCTACATTCGAATATTTTTTTTTTCCTCCTGTAGAACAATAAAGTAGGGGTTGACCTATATTTGTGCCCAACTTATCTTCGAGTAAATATGGTATGTAGGCGTTTTGCTGCAATTACCTGCTAATATGACTATCGAAACCTAACAATCTTTATGATTGCAGTCAAGATGCATTTAATTTTGCACCTTTTGTATATCACTATGCAAAAGGATACGTTCAGAGTTACAAAAGAAATCGAAACAGCGCTGGGAATGGTAACATTTCAACTTCTTGTAAACAAGTTTGTAACATCTAGCTGGGAGTGGCAGTGAGCAGCGAGAAAAAAAAAAAAAGCCTATACCTACCAGAAGGGAATAGTCAAGATGCATTTAATTAGGCGCCTTTCGTATATCACTATGCGAAAGGATACATTCAGAGTTGCAAAATAAATCGAAACAGCACTGGGAATGGTAACAGTTCAACACTTTGTAAACAAAATGGCAACATCTAGCTGGCAATGGCAGTGGACAGCGAGAAAAAAAAATCCCCCACGTCTCAAGGGAATTGTGAGGAAATAGGGTTGCATTGCCTAGCGTCCATAACGGCGTTTCGCACGTGAGTGTTTTCTTTTTTTCTTTTTACGCTGTGCAAGCCAATAGCACCATTCATCGCACGCGGTGTGCATTTGCAGCTCTAGTTGCTAGCGTGCGCTGTTAAAAATACTATGAGGTGAACAAAACAAACAGCGTTCATTGCTTGGCATTGCGTTTCACAGCGGTGTCTCTAGCACAGATTTCCAGATGTTCTTGAGAGGCACCCAACCAGCGAAAGGTCGAGAGTGAGGAGTGAGCAGACGGGAAAGTGGGGCGCAGAGAGGAGAGAGAACAAACGACGAGAGAAGGAGTGGCGAAGCACTGCACCTGCCCTCTCCTACCCTCTCCTACACTCTCGCACCACAAAGACCGGTTGCTAGGGGCGAGGATAAGTGCACGCACTCGCAGCTGTTGCTTGGGAGAGGGTGGTTAACAAATCCCGACAGACGCCTGACAAAGCCCGACTAAGATGAAATGCATTTGCGTTTAAAACAACATGCAGCGTGCACATCCTAGAAATGTTATTACAGTAGAATCTCGATGATACGATTACGTTTTATGTGAATTTCGCGATATGAATTTTAAGGTTGTTTTGGGTGGACTACATTATATAAAAAACACTGTGATTTGGTGTTATATGAATGATTGCCCCCAGCCACCGCGGATGATAGGAATGTGCGATTGACCGCTGCGTGACAGCGGCGCAACCTGGCAAAAACACGCGGCGAGGCCGACGTGAAAAAATCGGTCCGAGATCAATTTTCCCGCCACGCGATAGCATAGTATCGCCTTTTTGCTTCCCGGCTTTGGCTTCACCAGCTGCTCTATCACTCTATCTCTCAAATCACGTGATGTCAACAACCAGCCGCAAATCAACATGGTGGCGAAGGCATCGGCGGTGGGTCGCGTCGGCGCTATCGCGAACTACCCGCGCGGCACGTCAAAGCTCACGGCCTTGACAAGGACGCAGTCGTCAAGAACCTGGTTTGAATTACGATCGCTGGTAACGCCGGAAATAGAAGAAGGTGTAGCTGCAGCAAGTCGGCTTGCCCGAACGTGTCTTGCTTTTGCACTGCTGGCTGAATCCGTCGGTGCCGCTGTGTCCGCTCGTGACATTTCGGCTGGCATGTCTTCCGAAATAACATTAGTAAAGGAGTAAACTGTTTCTTTTCAGTGCCTTGTATGCATAATTACAACTCGATACGAACTTCAGTACTCGGGAAACGAGCAAAATGGAATAAATTTTCAAGCGGTAATGGCGGCGGCGGGGGTGGCATGTATACAAGGAGCAGAACGAATGTGAACTTTTTCGGCAGGCGCGAATGTGGTTTTCTGGTCGTGCTGGCATTTTCGCTTGAATTCTCTAGGACTCTCCTTTTTTTTTTTTTGTGTCGACTTCGCGGCGCGGTTTTCCGGCTGCTTAAGCGGGGAAGCAAGTGAATTTCCAGTGAGTTCGACCGCTTTCGCTCGCTCTGACGTCAACTGTGAATGCGCTGCGCCAGCAGCATTAGCGAGGAAACCGCATCACTTAATTAAAAGACGGGGAAGACAGGAAAGTTCAAAAGAACATCACAGATTTTTTTCAGCAAGGTGTAGTTGCCAATGAAGTTCTTGTTCATCATTTTTATCAGCTTTAATTTGTTTGTGGTTCATACGAATTCGGGCTGACATGAATATTTTACGTGCTCCCTTCGAATTTGTATCATCGAGATTCTACTGTGGTTATTAGAGCAAAGGGCATCAGTGTTGTGCAAACAAGCACACAAAAGTTATCTTTGATGTATTTTACACAGCACCAACATCAATATCGTGTCTATATTGTACATACTATGCGATGTCTTTGCACGTAAAAAAAAACCATGTGGTGGAAATTTCTGGAGCTCTCCACTGTGGCACCTCTAATATAATCATATCATGGTTCTGGTATGTTAAACCCTACATATTATGAATGCCTTGATTATGACTCCACCTTTCTGTAATAGCTTCTCAGCTTTTTGAGTCTTGTAGCATTATGTGCAGTGCTCTTGGATTAAAATGCTACAGTTTAGGCTTAAGATATGCGCATACTTTCATTTCCACCATCTTCAGTTTGTGTTATACGTCTGCCTTGGTGGAACAGTGGCTACGGTGCTCAGCTGCTGGCCCAAAGGTCGCGTGTTCAATCCCGGATCGCATTTCAATGGAGGCGAAATGGTAAAGGTCCATATACTGAGCGTTGTCAGTCACGTTAACACCAGATGGTTGAAATTTCCGGAGCCCAGCGCTGCGGTGTCTCTCATAATGAAAGAGGGGTTTGGTTACTTAATGGACCAGATATTGTTGTATCATCATTTCTTGTTACATTTTTCAGTTTTGGCTTCAGTAGATACATCAGAGCCAATATCGCCTTTAATGGCCAGATTCGTGGCAATGCGAAATAGGTATCTTGAGCTAGTATGTATCACTAGTTATGGTAAAAGTTCCGATGTCTCATTTCAGGGTGGGAGCGCTCTATATTTGCACGCACATATCATTTCCCAATGTATTTGTTGCTGCTGCGGTGGGTAATAGTAAATAAATAAGTAAATGCGTGCACAGAGATTGTGGAGATTATAGTAAATTCAGGGATTATAGAGAACCACATGCATATGTCGGAGTTGGAAGTATGCTGTCTTAAAGAAATTCAAACATCAGTAAAGCTCATATCTAACGAACTTGCTTGCGTATAACTGGAAAGCACAATGTTGTTCAGTGTATGCCTCTTACATTTCAACGTGTAAACTTCAGTGCAAACCAGGACAGACCACAAAGACAAGTCAAACACTAGTACTGACTAATGACTCCAGTGCTTGTCTCATCACTTCTTTCTGGTTTGTCCTGGTTTGCACTCAAGTTTTCACTTTAAAAGTTATAATCTGCCTAGGTCCAACCAATGTTTTAATTTTCTCTAACACTCGCTTGCATTTTCGATGAAGGCGAAAGTGCTTGAGGCCCATGTGCTCAGATTTAGAGGCACTTTAAAGGGCCCCAGGCGGTCTAAATTTCTGTAGCTCTCCACTATGGCATCGCATAATCATATCTTTGTTTTGGGACATTACACCCCACTGATTGTTACTAATATTATTATTATACATGTTTGCCTAATGTACACTGTTTGTTGCAGGCAAATATGCCATGAGTGATCTGGTCCAAAAGCTGCCCAACGGCAACCCGCAGCACGACGTGGGCACCTCTGACGACACCATTGCAGCAGTGCTTGCCACCCTGAATGAAGTGATTGTGCGCAACAGTGACTTTGCACGTTCGCTTTTAGAGGCCGGTGGCGTCACGCGGCTAACCTACATCACCAAGCAGAAAGGCCGCTTCTCGGCGCGTGTTGTCAAGTTCACATCTCAGGTGCGTGTGATATGTCTGCACTTAGTGGCCGTATGCCTTATGTAGTTTCTGTGGAAAACCTACAAGACGGATAACTCTGATGCTGCTAATTGGTTAGCATGATCCAGCCAGCATTGAGAATAATGAACAGTGCACAGATTTCTATGCGCTTTGCCTTTTCGGCTTTGCACAGTTTTGTGACGTAATCGGGATTCACATGCAACAAAATGAGGCGTCTTGGATGCGACAGTTTGCCGTGATTACATAAATGCAGAGCAACGACCTAATTTAATTACCTGGTCCTGTTGTGAAAACTTGAACTTTAGAGTATGGGAAGATGAAGAATAATAAGTACCATATAAACCGGACTGTAGGTCGAGTGGGAATATAGGTCGACCCCCCAAGTACAGGTTACCGAAAAAGAAAAAAAAAAAAGGAAAACAACCCAAAACTGCCTAACCACATTTATTTGCGAATTGGGCGCACTGCACCCTGATCATCGGAGCTCCCCTCAACCACCATCGCAACTGCTCCTATTCGACCGACGAAGCACCACTGTCTTCTGAAGACGAGAGTTTGTCGTTGGCCGCCTCCCACAGCGCGTCGTCTTCAGTGCCATCCAGGGAGTTGCTGACGCAACATTTCTTGAAAGCATTTTTCACCATGGAATCCGGCAAGGAACGCCAGGCGGAAAGCACCCAGCCACAAACAGTCGCAAGCGAAGGCCTCTGTAGGCGGCCCGTCGGTGTCTTGTGGTTGTCGCCGGACATCCTCTCTTGGTAATCCAGCCGCACTTGGTCCTTGAACGGCTTGTTTAGCACAACGTCGAGCGGCTGAAGGGTCGAGGTCATACCACCTGGTATCATGGCGAGGTCCGTTTTCCCGTCGCCGAGTGCGCGTTTCACTGCGTCTGTTAAGTGGCCACAAAACGCATCCGACACCAGCGTGCTGCGAAGACACAGCAGTGCACCTGGCCGACAGTTCCACACCACTCTTATTCGAGCATCATGGCCTCGTCCATGTGTCCCTTTTTGTTGACGCGAACAACAACACCGGGCGGGAACACTTCCTTCGTCATTGTCTTGCGTTTGAAAATGATGAAGGGCGGAAGCTTTCTACTATCTGCCGTGCATGCTACTATCTGCCGTGAAACGCGAGTGCTCGTTGCCAGTGGACAACAGCTTCACACCCTTGGCACCGGGCTGCGTGATCATTGTCGATGAAGGCATGTCAAATCACACGGGGGTCTCATCGATGTTGCCATTCTTCACCATCATGTAGTCGTTCTGCTCCCGAAGCTGGTTCACGAAGCGCTGAAAGTTTATGAGCTTGTCCTCGAACTACTCCGGCAACTTCTGACAGATGGATGTGCACCGCCGGAGAGAAAATCATTTGCGTCGCACAAATCGACGCACCTGTTTAGTGCACGAAACTCTTCCCTCGTGAGCCCAGCTTCTCGAGCGAGTTCCACGGCTTTCTTGCGAATGGTGTCCACGGTCACTGGCAGCGAGCGCGCACGAACTATCGCACAAAGTCTGCTAGCTTATCCTCCAGCTGCGGATGAACGGCACTTCGTCCACGAACCGACATTTTTCGAGGATCGCATATCGGCAGCTTGCCTTTCTGCGCCCTCCAATAGCGCACGCTTTTTTCCGATACACCAAAGGGGCACTGAGCAGCCATATTCCCGTTCGCTTCTGCATACTCAACAACATCTAGTTTAAACGCAGCCGAGTACTGCCTCCTTGCACCGCTACTCATATTTAGTGAACAAAAAGAAAAATCACTAAAAATGCAGCGCAATGTGAAGCAGAGCGAAAACTCGGAACAGATCGGAAGCAAATCACGAACACAAAGGAAACAGAGAGAAAAAACAGCCTGCGATTGGATTTGAATGCGGATATGGCCGTGTCCGGCTTCTCAAGCACATGCAAGCCACATGTTGCCAGACAGCGGCGCACTTTCGGCTAGACACCGCTATATAAGACGAGGGGCGACTTTAGCTTACTATTTTACTGAAAATATCTCGACTTATATTCCTGTTTATACGGTAATGTTAAGTCTACCTCTTGGCACCATTGCCAAAACGTTTGCAGATGGGCTATGTTCTTTTGTTGTTTTGGTAGCATGTTGCTTGGTTGTCCCTCTTGCGGCATTGCCGAATTGTGCACTACTCGTTTAGATCACAGTCAGAAGTCAAGATAAATATTGATCCTCTTCAAGTTTCAAAGAAGTGAGTACTGGTGCTTGGAACAGCACCAAGTAAACGCTGTCATGAACTGTTTCTATAACGCAGGCTTTGGTGCCAACTGACAACTTTTTTTATGCCCTAAGTAGGCATGTGTTGTATTCGAAATTTTCGGTATGTTGAACTGTTTCATGGTTCCCCTGAAATTAGATGTATCCGGTATCGAATGTACTCATGTCGCCCACTGTGAACCGCTCCTTGTGTGCTCAAATTTTTCAGAACACATGTTTTATCTAGGAAAATTATAACTGCGCTAAAAATGAGACACGAGATCGTAGTGGACAGGACAATGTACTTTTATCTACTATTTGGCACATGGCTTTTTTGAAAGTTGTTCTTCACTTTCATCAACATTGTTTTTCCTGTTTTGTTTTTTACCGTACTAGCTCCTGTACAACTTGTGGCAGCACGTTGAGCTGCGGGAAGTCTACAAGAACGCTGGCTGGCGCGAGTACCACTTCCTCACGAGGACGCTGGTGGCACGCAACTCTTCATCCTCGCCGCCGTCGAGCGCCAACAACACGCTGAGCCGACCAATCAGCTCCCAAGGGGGCACCCGCTACGAGGACCGCACCCTGCCACGTGTGGCCCGAGAGCTTAACAGCGGGCAGCCCCCTGGTGAGCATCACTTGCATAACTGGGGTGGTTGTTTGCGTGTTGGGGGGGGGGGGGGAGGGGTGAATTCCAGAGTAGTTTTGCCACACGTGGTAACAGTAGCTTAAGCAGAAAATGGTTTCATCATGGTAATGTATGCTATACCATTAAGTGGGATAGGAAATTGGGCAAGCTTATATGGATTTGTTGTTGTAGACACAGCGAGATTGAGACAAAAGGACTGAGAAGTAATTACCATGAGGGGCTTTATAAGTAGTGCAAGTTTCGTAGGTCTACGGTGATTAAAAAAAAGTTTTTTAAAGTGGCAACTCCCCTTTAACACAAACTAATTACACTGAACAATTATATGTACAACAAGTAGTAATGATTAGCACAAACAATGCCCGACAGCATGTACCAAGATAATCATTCGTATAAGGTTCTCTGTTATCTCTTACAATTAGTTCAGACAGGCATTACTTACGGGTGTATCATTAATTTGTTAAGGCGTCTATTAGCCGGCAACGAGCGAGAATATGCAATGGCGACAGTCACAGCAAAGCACGGGCTCTCAGCGCGAGCGGCGTCCTTGTTGGGTAGCCCCACTAGAAGGTACGCAAGAGTTCGACCCATTTCATAGTTCGGAGGCTTCGCTACAATTACCCCGGGGTCGAAGAGGGAGCCGCCTGGCGACCTAACAGCTTGTTATTATTAGCGGGTCATAATAAGCCTTCAGGCGCTCCACGTTGACGATGTCTCGCCCACGGCGGCGCATGTCCGAAGATATTTCAACGGGTTCGATCAGATAGTTGACGGGTGAGGTGCGCTCGATGACACGGTAGGGGCCTTCGTATTTGGGACGTAGTTTGGAAGAGGGGCCAGCGGCAGAGGTCGGGGTCGAGAGCCATACAAGCGCACCAGGAAGGAACATGGGCTCAGAAGTGGTGGAGCCATCACGGATACTCTTCTGCCGCTTTTGATCTTGCGTCGTAAAAGTCTTGGCAAGCTCGCGACACTCTTCAGCAAGCCTGGCTGTCTCGGAAATAGGTGTACACTCAGATGGATCCGGCGTGTACGGGAGTATCGTGTCCATGGTGTGCGACGGGTGCCTTCCGTACAGCAAGTAGAAAGGTGAAAAACCAGTCGTGCTCTGAGGGGCGGTGTTGTAGGCGTAGGTGACGAAGGGCAGTATATTATCCCAATTAGTGTGGTTGGCAGCGACGTACATAGAAAGCATGTCGCCGAAGGTGCGGTTAAAGCGTTCGGTGAGGCCATTCGTCTGTGGGTGGTAAGCAGTAGTTTTGCGGTGGACAGAATGGCACTCCGTCAGAATGGCTTCGACGACTTCCGACAAGAAGACACGGCCTCGATCGCTGAGAAGCTCTTGGGGTGGTCCGTGGCGCAGTATAAATCGATGCAGCAGGAAGGACGCAACATCGCGCGCAGCAGCCGCAGGGAGAGCGGCGGTTTCGGCGTATCGCGTTAAATGGTCAACGGCAACGATGGCCCAGCGGTTACCAGCCGACGTCAGAGGAAGTGGTCCATACAAATCGATACCTACGCGCCCAAAGGGACGGTCAGGGCAAGGTAACGGTTGTAGACTGGCGTGCGACATGTGGGCTGACGGTTTACGGCGTTGGCAAGTGAGGCAAGAGCGAACGAACTGCTGCACGTAGCGGTACATCCCGCGCCAGAAGTAGCGTTGGCGAATGCGATGGTAGGTTTTGAATACCCCAGAGTGCGCGCATTGCGGATCAGAATGGAATGATTCACATATCTCTGACCGCAGACTGCGGGGTATCACGAGTAACCACTGCCGGCCGTCGGCGTCGTAATTGCGTCGGTGTAGGAGGCCGTCACGAATGGCGAAATGGCGAGCTTGACGACGCAATGCACGCGTGGATGGCGTTGCGGATGGATCAGAGAGCATGTCGATGAGCGGGCCGATCCAATTATCCTTTCGCTGTTCGGTAGCGATGATGTCAACATCAATGGCAGAAACAGCAGCCGAGGATACTGAGCAGAGCACATCACCTTCAGGCAGAGGGGAGCGCGAGAGGGCGTCGGCGTCAGCATGCTGGCGTCCGTTGCGGTACAGCACGCGGATATCGTAGTCTTGTAAGCGAAGAGCCCAACGGGCGAGACGGCCTGAGGGATCCTTCAATGATGAAAGCCAGCATAGTGCATGATGGTCGGTGACGACATCGAATGGGCGACCATACAAATAAGGTCGAAACTTTGTAAGAGCCCAGACGATCGCCAGGCACTCTTTCTCCGTGACGGTGTAGTTTTTCTCGGCTCTCGTGAGCGTACGGCTTGCATATGCTACGACATATTCAGGGAATCCGGGTTTTCGCTGCGCCAGGACAGCGCCGAGGCCTACTCCGCTGGCGTCCGTGTGCACCTCCGTTGGGGCTGTAGGGTCGTAGTGGCGTAGAATGGGAGGCGACGTCAACAAATGGCGGAGCTTCGCGAACGCGTCGTCGCACTCGGATGACCACGAATTGAAGGGCCCGTTGCTTCCAAGGAGCTTCGTCAGCGGTGATATGATCGTGGCGAAATTTCGTATGAAGCGTCGGAAGTATGAGCACCGGCCCACGAAACTACGCAGTTCTTTGACAGATGCAGGTTTGGGGAATTCGGCCACGGCCTGAAGCTTGGCAGGATCAGGAAGAATGCCGTCTTTGGACACGACGTACCCCAGTATGGTGAGTTGCCGTGCTGCAAAGCGGCACTTTTTCAGATTTAGTTGTAAGCCGGCATTGCTCACACGTGCGAAAACTTCTTTCAGACGTTGGAGATGCGTGGAGAAATCCGGAGCAAAGACAATGACATCGTCGAGGTAACACAAGCACGTGTACCATTTCAAGTTGCGCAGAATGGTGTCCATCATGCGCTCAAAGGTCGCAGGTGCATTACATAGACCAAACGGCATGACGTTAAACTCGTACAAGCCGTCTGGCGTGACGAAGGCGGTCTTTGGTCGAGCGTCGTCAGCCATGGGTACTTGCCAGTACCCCGAGCGCAGATCAAGAGAAGAAAAAAAATCGGCTCCATGAAGGCTGTCAATCGCATCATCGATGCGTGGCAGTGGATAAACATCCTTGCGAGTGATCTTATTGAGCCGTCTGTAGTCTACACAGAACCGCACAGAACCGTCTTTCTTCGCAACAAGAACAACAGGAGACGCCCATGGACTGTCGGAGGGCCGAATAACGTCGCGTCGGAGCATATCGTCAACCTGATCATTAATTACTCGACGTTCAGCAGGCGACACGCGATATGGACGTTGCCGTAAAGGTGGATGGGCACCAGTGTCGATGCGATGCGTAACAACGGACGTGCGACCGAGAGAACTTCGCCCGACATCGAAAGAAGAACGATATTCCTGTAACAGGTCCAGAAGTTGGGAACGCTGTGCGGCCATAAGGTTGTCAGCGATGGAGGGGCCAAATACATCAGCAGACGACGAATCAGAAGTGGAAACAGCATTGATGGTACACGACCTGGGAGCGCGCGTGTCATCGGGTACGTCCAGGACTTGTGCGTCGTCGACTGGTTCGACTCTGCCGAGACATTCCCCTCGAAGCAAGGTAACAGCGTACGGGAACGGGTTGGTTACAAAAATAGCAGTGTTGCCCTGGTTGACCTGCACGGTCGCGAAAGGTACTAGCAACCCTTTCCTGCTGCAAGCGCGGTCAGATGGCGAAACAAGTCCAATGGTGTCGGAGAGACCAGCGCAGTAGACAGACACAGCCGTCGTCGAGTTTGGAGGCACTGTTGTATCGTCTCTCGTTAGAATCTTGCTCAGTGTCGGGGGACTGTCTTCTGGCGTCAAATGCGAGAAGGGTGAGAGCTCAATTTCGGCAGCGGCACAATGGAGGACGGCGTCATGGCGGGAGAGAAAGTCCCATCCCAGGATGACGTCATGAGAGCATGCCTGAATGACGATGAACTGGGCGACATACAGAACGTCCTGGATGACAACGCGAGCTGTGCACCCTGCTGTAGGATGAATCCGGTGCAAACTCGCAGTACGAAGGGATAACCCAGAAAGTGGCGTCGTCACTTTTCGAAGTAAGCGGCAGAGTTTTTCGTCCATAACTGATACGGCAGCTCCAGTGTCAATAAGAGCCGATGCACAAACACCGTCCACAAGCACGTCAATGACATTCGAGGGGCTGCTCTGAGGGCTTTCACATTGCGATAGCGTCGCAGTCCTTGCCTCAGGGACTGCGACGACTAGTTTTCCCGCTCATGAGACGCCGCACTTGGCCGCATGGGAGACAGGGAACGGCGTCGTGGAGACGGTGATCTTCGAGATGGACCTGGGCGAGATCGAGGTGGCATAGACGGCGGTTCTTCGCGATAAGGACGGTTGAGTTGGCCAGCAACAGGTGAAGAAATTGGAGCCGGCTGTACGCGATGGCAATAACGGGCCACGTGACCGGCGTAACCGCAGGCAAAGCAGATGGGCCGGTTGTCGGGTGTGCGCCATCTGTTCACCGGGGTAGGTCTCACCCATGTCGCAAGGGCTGATGGACGGAACGGTGGCTGCATGGTGGGCTGAAGCTGAGGCTGAGGGGTTACGTCAACATACGTAGCGGGCATACCCGCTGCAACGGACGGAGGTCGTGCAGCAGCTTCAGCGTAGGTCAGAGGGGCGGGTGCTTGAACGACTTGGGGTGGCCTGGCGACCACTTGCGCGTAACTCAGGGACGCAGGAGCCGGAGGCTGTTGGGGGTGGTAAGCAGGCATTACCTCCGCTATTTCCTGTTCAATCGCTCGGCGGATGGGAGGGAGAAGGGTAGTAGCCGATTGTTGAACAGCAGGTTGGTGGGAAAAGGGCAGGAGGGAGAACTGACGCGCGATTTCCTCACGGATAAAGGACTTCAGTTCTGCCATCAACGCCACTTGGTCACAACTGGCCTCCAAGCCAGCAAGCGTTGCAGCTCGTGGTGGGGAGCGTCGGGTCATCGAACGCTGCCGGCGGAGCTCCTCGTAGCTCTGGCACAGTGTGATGACCTCGGCCACCGTGCCGGGGTTTTTGGCGAGCAGCATCGTGAAGGCATCATCGTCGATGCCTTTCATGATGTTTCGGATCTTGTCAGACTCGGACATGGTGTGATTGGATTTGTTGCATAGGTCCAGGACATCTTCAATATAGCTGGTGAATGACTCACCAGCCTCCTGAGCCCGTTCACGCAAGCGCTGCTCGGCTTGCAGCTTGCGAACAGCAGGGCGGCCGAAGACGTTGACGATTGCGGTCTTGAAATCGGACCAGGTGGCAAAATCGGACGCGTGGTTGTTGTACCACAAACTGGCGACACCGGCAAGGTAAAACACCAAGTTTGTCAGCTTGCCGTCCTCGTCCCATTTGTTGGGGACGCTCACGCGGTCGTAAATGGCGAGCCAGTCCTCCACGTCAGTGCCATCAGCGCCAGTGAAGATGGGTGGATCGCGGATTCTGGGGACACCGGGACAAGGGGGTGGCATTGGAGGAGGCGTTTGCTGAGAAGCGTCTTGGTACATAGTAGATGGCAGGGTACGTGATCGTAGCTCCAAAGGCATAGACAGGGATCGCAGCACTCTCCACCAAATTGTTAAGGCGTTTATTAGCCGGCAACGAGCGAGAATATGCAATGGCGACAGTCACAGCAAAGCACGGGCTCTCAGCGCGAGCGGCGTCCTTGTTGGGTAGCCCCACTAGAAGGTACGCAAGAGTTCGACCCATTTCATAGTTCGGAGGCTTCGCTACAATTTGAATATCTGAGCACAGCATCATAGTTGGCCCTTCAATGCTAAACTTCATATAGCACAGCCACTTGATAATGAATTCTGTTTAGCATTACCGTTTTACTGCATAGCTAGATTTTTTTCTTCAAAATAAAAAAGAAAGACTTTTCCCAAACTGGTGTTAAGTGTGCAGCTAATTGCATCTCTAAGGGACCGCGCAATAACTCTGTTACAGAAGTGATCGGAATTGCGCATGTCTCGCTTGAGTAGTGACAGATCAAACCACCATTTCATTGCTCAAAAAATCAATTCAGGATGTGTGGATAACATGTTACTTCATATTTATTCATAACTTGTGTGCTTTCATGCGACTTTGAAATGTCATTTTTCTTTAATGTATTTACTGCTTCTCTCTTGTTCTATTTCAGTGAACATGCCATACAGTCGGGTAAGCACTTTTGTCTTTTTTGTTTTTCTTCTTTTTATAATGTTGTGGTGATAGCGAAATGTAATGTAGGCACTTCTGCCTTTTAAGTGTTAGTATCTTTTTAAACTGCTTTGTAATTTTGACCACACTCGACTACTGGTTTTCCGCGTATTCACCACATCTTGCCATGCACCACACTGTACGCAGGTCATGAGAGCGGGCTCTTGGCACACAGTGTGTTATTACATGATTATTTCACATTACAATTTTTTTTAAGAATGTTTATAATGACAACATTGCACACCACTGCATCAACTCTAAAGTGCAGTATGGCAAAGGAATCACTAAAGCAATTTGTAGTGACACGTTCTTCTGACATTTAGTCAGAACCACATTCCACAAGTTAAAAAAAGTTCTAGTCAAAGTCGAGAACAAATGGACTTGGGCAGTGCATGGGACACATAACCATAATAACCATTCATTAAAGGGGCTTTGCAACACTCTTTTAAGTAGCTATGGAATGGATTCACTAAAGGAACTTATTGCCGCACAAAATCACCACCGCAAATATTTTTGGAATCGGTACAGTACGAGTGGAGCTGCAAAGATTTCTCACACGCTGCGATTGCATCTCTTCTCTCGTTCCGCCAATGTACTGGAAGGTCAGCAGGGAGGGATGGCATGGGGATAAAAAATACGTCACGCACACGTCATGACCTTGAGCACTTTTTTTTTCGAATGCGTGGTTTTTCTGTGCAAAAGCGCACGCACGCGTGGATAAGTCGCAGCCTCCCGCGGCGGCCCCAGTAAAGACTGAGCACGCAATGCTCAAATCAGCCAATGGCTGATACAATGGCTGGGGCGAGTGATTTTTGAGCTTGTAGCGTCATTTGTCGAGAAAAAAAAAAGCAATTTTTAGCTAACTTTTAGAATTGATTGTGAATTCCAGGCCGCATACTGCACTATCGGAAGCTTCGACTAACGAATGGCAGCATTTTCCGACCATGCTCAAAAAGTGTTGCAGGGCTTCATTAGTTAAGAGTAGCCGACTGAGTTCTAAGCGAAGGCAAACGCATGATGGATGAGACAGAAGTTCAAGGGGGCAGATGAGATACAGTAAAAGCTCATTAATTCGACACCCGTTAATTCGGATAATTCGGACAGCTCTATTGTTCCCAGCCAAAGTGCATGTTAATCTATGGGACCAAACCTTCGTTATTTCGTCGTAATTCCGCTCCGCACCGCTTGATTTGGACAAATGCTGACGGCTGCTGCTACACAAAAGTGTGATAAAGCAGCGCTGGCACCACTGGAGTGAAACCGAAACTTGAGTGGCATCACCATCATCATCAACTAGTGGGGGCGATCGCAGCGTCACCGAAGGTCGGCGTCTTCTTTCTTCTCCACTCAGCCCCTCCGACGCCATTTTCCCTTGTGTTGTCGTGTCGGAACCATCTCTTCTTGCGGAGTTCTCTTTTTCTTCCATTGTGACAGTATTTGCATGCCACCACCATCGTGCGCTACAGTAATGGCAACGCCGAAAAAGCGGCAGAACTACGACGCGAAGAACTTGGCGACTAAAGTGGAAATTTTGGAAGCACTGAAGAACGGCGAATCGCCACAGCAGCTTATGACCAAGTACAACGTGAAGCGGAGCACGTTGGGAACGTACATGAAAAATGAACAACAGATTCGACAAGCCTTTGAAAGCGAGAAGTTTCATGGCTCTAGAAAGCGGTTGCAAACCGCAGCTGATCCCCAGCTCGAAGAAGCTTTGCTCCGGTGGATTACTGACTGTCGCAACGCGCATCTGCCTTTGAGCGGACCTCTCATCATGGCGCAAGGTGAGAAGTACGCTGCAATGATGAACATTGAATCGTTCAAAGCGTCAGAAGGGTGGTTTGCGAGGTTTCGAGAGAGACACGAACTTGTCTTCAGGAGTGTGTGCGGCGAAAAGGCCAGTGTTGACGAAGCGTGACCACCGAGTGGAGAAATGTGAAGCTGCTGGAGCACATCGCCGCATATGAACCACGTGACGTGTTCATTGCAGATGAAACTGCTCTATTTTTCAGAGCTTTGCCCGATAAGACGGTGACTTTCAAAGGGGACGCGTGCATTGGTGGCAAGAAGTGCAAGCAAAGGATAACTGTGCTTCTTGCCGCCAATATGACTGGCACGGAGCGCTTGCCACTACTTGTCGTCGGGAAGGCGCTTAAGCCACGTTGTTTTAAGAACATCAAAAGCCTTCCTGTCGAGTACACAGCGAACAGGAAGGCATGGATGACATCGGACATTTTTCGCGGCTGGCTGCAGCAGTTGGACCGGCACTTCACATCGAAGGACCGCAAGATAATTATGGTTGTTGACAACTGCAGTGCCCATAACTGTACAGTCGAACTGAAGAGCATCAAAGTAGTTTTTTTGCCGCCCAACACTACGTCTGCTCTTCAGCCGATGGACCAGGGTATCATTCACTACGTGAAGTCGAAGTACCGCAAGCACCTGCTAGAGCGAAGGATCCTATGCTCAGAAGCTGGAAAGTTGTATCAAGTGGACTTACTCGGCGCAGTGCACATCATTGCCCACGTGTGGAAAAACACTCCGCCGCAAGTCATCGCCAACTGTTTTCGACACAGCGGTTTTGTGAGGCCCGAGCATGCAGCAGTAGCTGATGATGGCATCGAGGAGGTGTCAGCCGAGTCCACCGACGATGACTGCCCGACTTTTGATGCTGTCCTTCCCACAGATGTGACCTTTCAGGACTACATCGCGATTGATCATGGTGTCGCCACGAGTGGTCTCCTGACCGATCAAGAGATTAATAATGATATCACGGACGCCCATGAAGACCACGATTCCAACGAAGAATCATGCGAGGAGATACAGCCGCGACCTCATCGCACCTCACGGAAAGTCTCGGAGGCGCTGTTAATATTAGAGAACGCTTGCCTGAACACTCCCGACAGCTTGCGTGCTGTTGGCCATTTGGAACAGTCAAGAAAAATGGTGATGTCTGCCGGAATCTGCGCGAAAACGCAGACGACAATTACAAAATACTTCAACAAATAAAGGTATGCTTCTGCAGCTTGATTTTAAATGTTGTTTTCCCTGTTCATTCGTTAATTCGGCATTCGGGTAATTCGGACAGTTTTTCCGGTCCCGTGAAATCCAAATTAACGAGATTTTACTGTATTAAGAAGTTTGAGAGTATAATCTGGCAGGTGCAAGGCACGAAATTGGGCTGGTTGGCGGAACATGGGAAAAGCCTTTGCCCTGAAGCGGGCGTAGTCAGGCTGATGATGATAACACAAATCTCAAGGGGGAGCAAAAGTATTTGCTTTATAATTTTTCATCACCAGAAAACTAGCAGAGCAGGCTTTCTCAGAAAGCGAGGATATGTGCACAGAGCATTTATTTCTGTGGAAAGCACCCGTGTATGTTTTTCTGGAACACACATTTGAATGGACCACTAAGGTACGGCACAGCCGGCTGCCACAAATGCACGCGTCATAGTTTAGCTTGAGGTCTACTGAGATCCAAGCGCTGAAGTCCACTCCATTGTAGTGATAGCGCTCAAGCACTTCGGAAGGAATGCTGAAACACTTCATGTCTTTTTACGACTTTGTTGTCTTTTAATCTACCGCTGCATTTTCCTTGTACCTTCGAAACCGCATTTTCACTATTGATAATTGCGCAAGTAGTGACCACAGTTTAATAGGCAGTGGTCGCGGCTAAATGGAAGTTTTGCTTTTAATCCGTTTGTGAGGACCGTGCCTGGCGCTTCGGAGCTGCTACCTATGATTGCGTCTGCTGCAGTTTTCTCTGTAGCAGTTGCACTAAGCAGCATCAGTTTGAATCTGTGAATGTTGGATCCTCGTGTTGTTTCAGTTTTGTTGTCTCCATGCATCGTCGATTCGATAGCGACGGCAGTTTCATGCGCTGCAGTTGAGGCAAATGATAAGCACTATTCTAACTCTGTGCACTGGTTGTATCCACACTTGCAGAGCTCCCGGAGTGCACTGCTGTTGACCATTGGTCGACGGTTTCGGTACTCAAGTTTGTAATGCCCGTCACGGCCCAAAAAAATCTTTGCAATGTCTGAATTTTGGCTTAGGTTTCAAATAAATTCGGCCAGAGAATTTGACGAATGTGTATCAGACCATCCATCTTCATATCGCCAAATTGTACTGTACTTATGTAAAACAAAAGCAAAGTAAAATCTAGAATTGTATGGTAAGATGCAGATGACTGCTTGCTGTGAAAACAGACAAACAGACTTGTTGTCTGTGCTGCCAACAGGTGTTCATCCATGCAATGTATTGTTGATGTTTATTTTACCCAGTCGGAGGAGCTTCCTCTGAGCGAGCTCAGCCATGGCGGCGGCGGTGCCGAGGGTCAACCGGGCTCTCCGCAGCCCGCACAGCCGCAACAGCCGACACTGCACCGCCCACCTGTTGGTGGCGTCCCGATTTTCCCACCGGGCCCTGTAAGTGGCCTTCCTGGTGTTGCTACCACAGCTTCTTAACCTGTTGTTGTTTTTTTGTCTTCTGTACTTTTTTTCATAATTAGTGGGAAGTATCACTGTAATGCAGGCATTGTAGCTATGGAAATGTCAGTCTACACTTTTTCTGGTTTGGTTGTTTTAGTCTGATAATTTTCTATGGAATTGACGGAACTGCGCAACTTAAATAAAATGAACACGTAATGTTATAAAAACACGTGTAATGAAGTTTCATAGAAGTGTTACTGCACGAATTTTGTAAAGCTGTGGCATTTTGTCTGCAATAATGTTTATGGAATTAACTACCAGCATATCCGAAACAAATGGTATTGAAGTAACAGGGTTCTTACTTAGCATGTTTTGGAGTGCGGGTGTAGTTGTGCTGCAATGCCCTCTAAGGAAAGCATAGTTACTTCAACTATCATATATGACTACAACTTGTGGATGTGAAGCTGGGCGGTGAGTCGCAGATTACTCTTTTACCTACGCGCTTCCATTGTCTCACATATTGTGTCAGTTGTGACCGCTATCTGTGCTCTGCGATCGTCAATTGTGCAAACATGTGACTCTGCACATTCACTTGAAAGGAGGTGCAGGTTTGCAGTATCTGCGGTGCAATAATTACATAACAATCGAAGTGATTTTAAATCAAGTCACAGGACAGATACATATAGCTTTCACCTAATGCAGTATTTGCCCAGCAGCAACTTACGGAAGATATATCAGTGTCCTGTGAAGGAGTTAGATTGTAGCAATAATTGGGACATAGAAAGTGATACGAGGACAGATTAGTTCGCGAGGTACGTTGGGAAATATAGTGGATCACTAGCCCTGAAGCGAGTATCATTTTGTTCTCAACTTGGATATTTTGAGTTGTTCTTTCTTGTAGCTGGTACATTTGCTTTAGTCTTCGGTGTGTGTTAAAGTGAGTCTGAGCTTTCTCTCTTTCTCTGCTTTTTGTTGTGCATAATATAGTGCTTGTAAAGGATTGTTTCTGTGCCACTCCTCTGTCTTACTCGTTCCAGTTGTGGTGTCTAACATGAATGCAAACTGGTAACCCGACTCTGTGAGACTAATTAATTAAACCAATGTTAGGAAAAGTGTCTTACGAAAAATGACTTATTGTACTAACGTGCATGGGTTGCTACACAATTTTTATCGGTCAATACTTGCGTTGAAATTTGGAAGAGTTTATTCAGGACTGTGTATTCTCTAATCGGGAATATTTGCTACTGCAATATCCAAAGTTATCACCTGCTATCATTTCGTTTGACAGTTCACAAGAAACATGAACGCATGTGGGCAGTGCGTTAGCATTTTGAGTAAATGAACAGTTTTTATGTTGGTTAAGAAGAAACAAGCATGGAGATATGTGAATGTTGTTTGGGTGAGTCGTGTTCAGTCATCGCCAGATTGTGTGTCATGATGTCTCATTGTTCGACTTGACAGTACAGTTGAACACCGCTACAACGAACGCCACCGCTTCAACAAAATTTCCCCTTTAACGAAAAATTCACGGTTTCCCGTCAGCAGTCCACAGGAGTCAATGCATAAATATTGTCGCCACAGCGAACACTTTTTCTTTTGCCGTCCCGCCTCAACAAAATTTCACGTTGCAATTTCAGGCTCACATACTTATGGTTGTACAGGAAACCCAATATTTGACACTTTGATGCATATTGAGAACCTGAAAATACGTCGACGAATTCTAAAACACGCGTTGGCACCACCACAAACCGCCGCTGTTCAGCAAGCATGGGCGCCACCATTGCTCGATAACGATGGCAATAAGACTGCCCTGCTGCATGGAGGATGGCTCTGCTTTTGCCACTGGCTTGATTCGATCCGCAGACGATCCAAAGCTGAAGCTCAGTCGCTCAGTTCATGGTTTTCTTTACGCAGCTTCTGCGTGCAACCTCGGAGCGATGCCTTTTCCGATTCCAATGCTTATAATTTTATTCGCGCTTGGCCAGTGTGGTACTTGATCAGAGTTGACGTTCGTCTGCATTATCAACCAAATCAGCTAGCCGCGAGGGATGGATAATAAGAATGGCATAGAATAAGGCAAAAGTCACCGCTCCACGATACCCTGCCTCCATCTCGGCGTTGTCGGATATACGTGACGGGGGACGGCTGCTGGTGTTAACGTGTTAATGCAACTGTTTGGTACGTTTACGAAAGCGGTCTTAGGCGTTGTTTCAGCGTGGTTTTCTCTATAACCTCGCTATGCATAACTGTGGATTGTGTTGGGACGCTGCTGGGAAAGAATAGGAAGCAGCGGACACTTCTTTAATTTTAAAAATAAACGTTTCTTTGTTTTGCTAGTTCAGATCAGCTATATTTTTTTTATTTCACTACAACTCGCTTCAACGAAATATTTTCCGCGCCTCGTGAGTTTTGTTGTAGCGGGGTTCGACTGTAATATCATTTGGCTGGTAAGACTTTCTTGTGCTCTTTTACAGGTCTCGTTAGGTAGCCAGAAATCGGCGCAAGCATTTTGTTCGTGGTTGGTGATAACTCTGGGTATTGCATTTGTGCCATCTGTGATTAACACGTGCTTCTGTGTTCGTGCTTGTGCCGTGCTGTGCCATGTCTGACTAACTGTGCTCTTTCCTTCAGCCGCCCGGTTTCTAACATCTTCCCGACCTGGTCTTACACTCCTTTAACTAAAACAAAACGTGGTGGGTTTTCCTTGGCTTTTTTCTACTCTCGCATGCCTCTCCCTCTCTGTCTTGACCATTGCATGTTGCTGCAACGTTGCCCTACGAAAAGTGTGTACTGTTTCGTTCACGTTGCTCTTTGCTGTGTCACACGTGCCAGAAAACTTAGTCAGTGCAGTCGGCTTACAGTAGACGCTAGGTTTTGTATGCTCTGTATTTTCTTGCATACGACCAGCCTCTGTATATAACCTGAACCCCCTACCTTAACTCTATGAAAAAAAAAAGAAGCACAGAAGCCCTGCATATAATACGCACCCCCCACTTTTAAAGCATGTTTTTCTATATTTTGGTGTGGGTTTTATGTGAGAAAATGCAGTAATAAATGCATAATCTTATATTAATTTGTATTTCCATATTGCATACATTTCGAAAACCCACTTACTAATAATACTAGTGTGTAGTGTAAAAGTTCAGTTTTATTTGCAAATACTAGATACTAGTAAAACTGAACTTTAACCAACCAATCTGATCTTGGAAATTTTGTGGCAGTTAGTGCTCGCACGTAACCTTTCCTCCATTGCCTATACTAATTGTGGGTGCAACAATGTTTTCTTTTGTATTCATGAAGAATAGTGTTACTTCAGGTCTTCACAATTCTTTGGGGGGGGGTGATTGGGAGTCCTTAAAAGCACTTTTACATTTGTTGTGGGAGTAAACTACTACAGTGTCATTTGTTATTCAGTATATCCATTCTAGTTAAACGCTCTTAAGCATCAATGCTTCTGCTATAGCTGCCTATTCGTTCCATGGGCAAGGAGCACAATAATGGCTCAGTATCTCTTAGGAACACTTGGCGTGTGTGCACATGTAGAGCGTGACTTTCTTTTCTTCCTAAACTCCCATAATTCAACTAACATTGTGGGAAAGTATGCTTGAACTTGCTTATTGCATGCTTTCTTCTCAACAATCTATAATATCAGGCTGTTGCGAACACATCTCTAATTCCTTGTCAATGCAAATGAAAATCTGCAGCATGCCTTGCGTTCTTCACTAATTTATGCAATTTTTAACTGACTGCAGTTGTCCTGTTGCTAAACTTGGGACAGTACAACTAAAATATTAGTCGCAAAACTTCCGGTAGGGACTGCATATTAAGAACACTCTTGGTTTAAAATTATGTGTGACGTACAGTCGCCAACTGAATTTCCGAACTTAGCGGGGACCACGTAATAGTCCGTAAAATCGAACAATCCGAAAAAGTGGTGAAGCCATGAAATTGAAGTTTCTTTAGATTAGAAAAGCCCAACAAAAGAAGTACCCCAGTACTGCTACATTTTGTGGTGTTCTTGAGGACAAGCAGATATGGTTCTGTTTGGGCTACGGTAACATCGTTGACAGGCGCATTGGCAATCGCTGCCGCTGGCAAAGTTGGTGGCTTTATGGAACTTACCAAACAAAACTTGATGCCGGTCACAAAAAGATGCATGAAACATCACACCTGTTTGGTGAGATTTAGCGACACGGTCTTGGCTTTCTTTACCTGCACCGACTCCTCACAGTACTTGATCCTCCAGCATTTCGCCACCATCAAAATGCTACCGTCGCGGCCGCGATCGAACACCTGTGTTTCAGGTTGGTCGCCGAGTACAGTGACCACAGAGTGCTAGTGAGCAATTGCGAACAGCAGCGAGCATCCGACGTGCACGATGGCTCAAACACATTGGCACACTGCTAACACGACCGCGTCCCGCGTGGGCAATGGCGAGCAGAAAAACATATGCCCAAAAAATAAAAATAATCTACTGGTGTATTAATGATAATGATAAGGCTGACTGAAGAAGAAATGTTGTGCTGTTTTGCTAGCCAAGGAAAATCAGGCATTGCCTCCAAAAATATAATATAATGCGCGCTTCCAATCTTGGAGGCTACACAACTAGCCACCGCAAGCCAAGCTCAACCAAGCCAACAAAAAATCCAACATGGCAGCTTTCAAAATCAAGTGGCATAGCTCAAAACAAATGATTTAGTCTGGAAAATTGAACTTGGGAACATTAATTCGTCCAAAAAATCGGTCGTGAAAATGCATCGGTTCAATGGGAACCTGGACGGTGCATTTGTAAAGTCCGAAATGTTCAACAAGTCCGAATTTTTGGAGTCTGAAAAATCTGTAAGCGACTGTAATGCATTTTGCCAGTCAGGGCTTGTAGGGAACCATCATAATTTTTTCTGGGCTGTTGTAAATGCCTGACTTCCCAATTATGCACTTTGAGGCTTTCACATCCGTCTCTGCACTTTTGTGCTACGGTGCAGAAAAGAGGTGCTCCCACTGTCCAATCGAAAGGTCTGTGTGCTTCTAAGTGTTGATGATAGCACAAGTGCATCTGAAACCGCATTCTTGATCTGTCATTTTTCAATATGCTTTCACTTCTGTCCACTTGGAAATATAAGTGAACATTTGCATAGGATAACTCGTGAACGCATCCAATGCGTGAATTGGCATACACACTTTTTTTACGAGGGGCACATGACTGCATACAGTGTGCTTCTTGTGTATTAGTGCGTCCTTGTCCATTTTATGTTGTTGCATTTATTTGAGCCCATCTTCTCGGATATCCATTGCCCCGTTTTTCAACAGCAGCAGCAGCCTATGAGGTCTCCGCCTGAGCCCGTGTACGCCCAGGTGAACAAGAAAAAGGACCGGTATCCGAACGATCAGGGGCCCCAGTACCTCGCGCTCGACAGCCAGTCGTCCCAGCCAGCCGGAGACTCCTGGGTGTGAGATGCGACGCTGTGGCCACCATGACTTCAGCTGCGACGGCTTCTCATCTTTCTTGTTTCACCGTGTTTTGGGACGTTCTCACACGCCAAGGCAACATGGGAGAAAAAAAAAAAAAAACAGCGAGGGAGAATAGAATAAGACTGTGCGTTTAGTAGTCTGAAGAAGACAACAGTGTGTTTTTATTTTATGCTTGTGACATTCTTTTTTATTTCATTGCTGTTCGGATTTCTGGTTCGCATTTTTAATCAATTTATAATTGAGAATTATATCAAATTTTAGTAGAGTTTTGCGCATGTGCACAGGTCAGGCGCAGCCAAGGTCTCCGCCGCACAACCTCGCGTTTTTCTGAGGCGGTGCCTGCGCTAGCGTGTAGGACAGCTCGAAGCCAAAGCAAGTTCCTCGTTTTAGTCTCGTTTACTTGCCAGTTATGAATCTATCTCTAAAGTAGCTTTTTTTTTCAGTTTTTTACTTTTCTCTTTAGGTGTTCTGCGCAGTGAAGTTTTTTTTTTCGGAACGGCACACCCGGATCTCGTGCGGAGAGATTACGTGCGTTCTCCCTCCCTGGTCTGCCCTTTTTGCAGGTAGCAGTTGTTGACGCGAACAAAAGACGTGAAAACAACAGATGCCAAGGAGATGCTCTCTGACTGTGTGCACGCGGGCGGTGGAAGTGGCATGACACGCACTCACCGAACTTGCCTAACAGGAACGAAAACGAATGAACGCAGGGCTGAATTGTGAAATGGAAAGAAGGAAGTCAAGACCAGGTCTCCCCACACTCTCACTAGAAACAATATTTCCTGCACCCCCTTGCATGCTGCGCAGGGGCAGCTTGCTGGACTCCTATAATGCCACCTCGTTAGGTGGCATAACGAGCAGCTGTTTGCAATCAAGGCAGCTGTCTCTTCTACGTCAGCTGTGGCGTAAAGATACGGTACGTCGATGCTAAAGTAAAAACGAAGGAAGGAGGCACGTTCCCCTCCGTTGGTTGAATATGAGGGGAAAGGTGTCGGGGATATATACATATATATACCTGGGAAAGTGGGGAAGCAATTTTTTTCCCCGTCGCCATTTACTACTCGAAACGCTTACTACTACTACCGAGTACGCTCTGTCATCATTACTACGCTGTACTATTCCTGATCCTGCCAGTGCCAACAAGAGTGTTTTTCGCCGTGGTTTGCGGCGATCAGGCTTTCTTTACTTTGTTTTGGTTTCGTTTCGGTGAATCGCGTCACGTGTGTCTCAGCACCCTCGTCTTGTCCCATTCCCCATGCTACTCGTCTCTCGCTCCCCGTCTTCCCGCATCATTTAATTGAACCTTTTTCTCTTATCACGTCCTTACTGTGGCAGCTCTCAGTTCAGCTGGTTCCGTAATTGGGTCCTTCCATCGTTGCACACGCGCCCGTGTGTGTCCGTCTATCTCTCAACATAAACATTTCACATGGAAACTTTGCTCAAGTGTCGCAGGGGTATCTTGCGTTGCATTTCTTGGGTTGTGCTGATGACGACAGAGGCGGGATGAATGGATGTCTTATAGACAAAGAGCATTGCTTCTCCGCGACACCGCGGCCGGCGACTCCTTTCACGAGACAAACGTTGTTGGCGGCGTGCAGCCTGCGGGGGCGAACGACTCGAGTAGCATTGCACCGTGCACTAGGGCGCAGTGTTGCCAGACACTGGTGCTGAGTCTTTGAAGCAGTTGTGACCCTGGTCGGTGAGCCGACAACGAGCGTACGAGACTGGTCGAAGGGCTGCGTTTGCCTGCTCGTTGTCTCTAGCGGCTGGGGCTGGTAGGAGCTAAACGAAACAAAACAAAAAAAGTACCACAACTTCCACAGCCTGCACTCTTTGCCATTTTTGGAGCCATTTTCGTCTCCACCATTCCAGCAGCTGGGCTTTTTTTTTTTTTTTAGGAACAGTGCTCTGGATTTCCGTTTTTTTTTTTTACCTTTTTTTCTGTTCGGTATCCCTCCTCTTGTTGTTGACGTTGCTTTTACTGTCCTTCATTGCCACACAGTACTCACATTCATTTGTCTCATAGGCAGTGCAGATCTACTTAAGCACCAGTCATGCATTACACATTTTACCTGCGTTATTTTTTTCTTCTTCGTTGCGGTGCATTGGCGAGCATGCAAAGGAGTCTTGTGTCATTATGTAGGTATACTCGTGTGCATTTTTTGGACAGTATTTAAATATTTTAGCTATTTTCATTTCGGCAGAAAGTAATAGTGTTCTTTTAGCATTTTTTGAATATTGTTGACATTATATAGGCACTCTGTTGCCCCATCGTTCTGCCAGTGTTTGCTGTACAGTTATAAACCTCGCTACTGTCTCCCCGAGAACAGTGGTGCATTGCTTTATCGCTGTATTCAGCCAGTGTGCTTGTTCGTGCAAAGGTTTCACATTCCATTCTGATTTTAGTGAGGTTGCTAAAGGGAGCTTTCTTTTATCGAGGGATGATGAACTGTAATTTCAAGCAACCGTTTCTTGATTCTCGTGAACATAGGCAACTTTTTATAATGATGTACCGTAACATTTACATTATATACTTTTTTTTTCGAACGACTAGTGTACATTTTTTTGGTTGTGTAAAATGTATCTGACAAGAACTGTAACATTTGAAATAAAGGTGATTTTGAGGACCAATGTGATGCGTGCTTCATGTCGTACAACTGGTATGTAGCCTGTTTTGGAGGTAAGCGCTGACCCATACCTTGCCGACTCAAATTGAGGACTGTGCTATGAGCAATGGAAAGGAAATTGATAGATGTAACCTAAAGAGATGGGAAGAGAGCTGTGTGGGCTGGGGAACAAACGGGTGTTAAGGACATCTTAGTCAAAATCAAGCAGAAATGAGCACGGCTAGTGCACATAGTGTGTAGGTGAAATGACCACTGGTCAGTAAGGGTAACCGACTGGATTCCAAAAAAAGGCAAACTCGCAAGGGGGAGACAGAAAATTTGGCGGGCAGATGAAATTGAAAAGTTTGCAGTGGCAGAAGTTATAACCAGATTTAGTGGCAGAACAAGGGAGACGCCTTTGCCCTGCAATGGCCGTAGTCAGGCAGATTATTGTGTCTTGCGAAAAATTTATTCTATAAACACTGAAACATAGTCGTACACTGTAGTCTGATTTGCTTCTTTGTTGATGCAAAAGTGGCCATAGATTCACCTTGTTATATATATATATATATAGAGAATCGATTCGTTCAGTAATGTATGTATGGTCTCGTTGGTTTAGAGCAGTGGTCTCGAATACGCAACCTCTCTCTTGCGGCCACAGCCTACACTTCTTTTTTGTTTTTTTTTTCATGATTGTGTTTTTTGCAATGTATATACTGATGCCTCCCTTACTCAATGACATTTAATGGGCCTGTAAGGCATTTTGAATAAATAAATATGTTTGCAGGCAACACAGGCATGGCTGGTCTAAAGTATTTTTGTCATGAGGCACCTCCTGCAGTAACCATGTCTTGATACATAGCTCTGAAAAAAAAAAAAAAGCCTCTATGTATTTAAGAATTGGCATGTAGATTTCAAGATTTCTGTATTTTGAAGGTAAGCGTCAAGTCTCCTGCCCCCTCCCCATCTTTTACTTTCAGTGTACTTACTAGCACTCCAAGAGTGAATTTTCGGGACTGTGGCATGTCAGCTGAGATGTGTTTGAGACACCCAGTCTATTGTGTCTCAATGACCATTTTATTTTATTCAATGCCTTTGTTCCGTGGAACAGAATTTATTTTTATACCATTGAATGTTGCTTTCCTGTTTTCTGTAAAAAGTATAAAGAGGGACCATTGAATGTTGCTTTCCTGTTTTCTGTAAAAAGTATAAAGAGGGAATACACAGGAATGCTGTAATGTACAATTGCATGTTCTTCCATTTGCAGCCCATTACTAGCAGTAAGGACAGGAACTTTTGCCAACCTAATAACGCCTTTTTCTCTTAACGGGGAATAAGTTTACATGTGAAACAGTGCTACGACAAAAGGAAAAAACAAAGTTTGCCTGCTGGAGCAGTGCTGATGTCTAACGAAGAAACATTGCATTATTGGTGCTTGTCATTCGGGTGAACATTGAATACTAGTGCAAAAATGCTTTGAACATTTACTGCAGTAGATATTCACCTCAAAGCGTAGAAGTATCAGCTTGCGGAAGGAGTGCTTGTTTGTGTGTTTCCCCTTTTCACCTTCACTGCGGAATGAATGAGTAAAAAACTTGCAAAGAAATTCTCTTGCTGAAGTTGGAGCCTTCAGCCCATTAACCCTGTGGTCTTTTCTGTCTTGCGAGCTCTGTCAATTGGCTTGAGTTGTTCTCCAGGCTTCGAGCAGGACAGCGCAGCCTCCCATAGCTCCGGTGCCGGTGTGTTGTCTTTTGGCACTACCTTTGAATGTTGGCAGGCCCGTGTTACATGAATGTGGGGTGTTTTCCCCATAGTGGGCATTGATTATCATATGTTGCTGGGTAAATTTTGCTGAGGCGAATATATGCAAGATATGCCGTATTGAGGTTGCCACATTAAATCACATGCCCTGGGATTGTGCCGAAAATCCGCAAGGTGCTAAATTCGAAACCATCCCGCCGCGGTAGGCCGCTGCGCTTTGCAGCCCCAGCCTCGGCGACCAGCTCTGGGCCGTCCAGCAGGCCCGCGAGGTGGCGGTCAGGCAAAGTTGTGACCAACCAACCAACCAAAGACTGAGATTCCGGTGCGCATTAGTCGTAGCTGTCTCCAGGCAACTTACTGCTCTTTGCGCTGCAGAGGTCTTTATGAAAAAGGAGGGTAAACCCTCCTCTGGGCTCACTGGTGTTTTAAAGGGACACTAAAGGTAACTATTAAGTCGACGTTGATTGTTGAAATAGCGGTCCAAAAACCTCGTAGTGTTACTTTCATGCCAAGGAATGACCTATTTTGAAATGAAATCACGTTTTACTGGTCCGCATCGGGTTAGCGCACTTCAAATTACCCGTCTCAAGAAGCGGACCGACCGGACCATCTCACGTCACTGTTGCCGTGCACAACAATGCCTGGCTTTACTGCACTAGTAGCAGCAGAACGAAAACAGCGGGAGCCTCAGCAGCAGCAACAACGGTCATTGATCAGTTTTCCGCCATTGACTCCGAGATTGCAGACATTTTTTTGTTCAACAGCGCCCCGCCAGATGGCACCACCTGTCCTTTGTAACTACGCGAAAATTGAATTTTCGAACCGCTCGTGCCATTCCCCATAGTAACATCAGGCAGTTTTTTTTCCCATGAATTAAAGAGAAGCGAACAAGCAGAATTTTATTGCATCTCTTGATGCACGGAAGGTTCGTTATTAAGTGAAGTTAGATCGATTTCTAGTGATTATTTGTAGGCGGTCCGTCTGATGTCATCGGGATCATTTTGAAAATGTCCTACTGCGGCGCCTGTGTTCTTGTGCATTTACCTTAATTTCTCTGTAAGTGGGACACTGTTGTTGATAATATTGTCGTTTTAGATGTCATACATTAAACTTTCACTCTGACATAAAGTGTTTTTTGACTTTAGTGTCCCTTTAAATTGCTCTATAGCGTCTACTAACTGTGGTTTTTTGTCGTTGTGCGCCGCCCGGTTGGCGTATGCTCGTGCATTGGCATGAGTGCGCTGGTTCCGTGTCACAGTTGCGTGGCCTCAGCTGTTTGAAGTAAATCAGTCTTTTTGCCGCACAAGACCCTGCGAGTATGTGCCACAAAAAAAACAAAAAAACAGGTATGCGCCGAGTAACTCCTAGCGTAATAGCCATGCATAGTAGAGTATAGCCAGGGGGTCACAAAAGGGAAGTTACTAGATTCACTTTTTCCTCGGTATTCTGACCACTAGTCAACTTGACTCTAGACCATTCTGTGTGAAGAAGATTCTGGGACCTTGGGCATCTGCCTCAGTTGCGCAGAAAGCGACTAAAGCACTCCTATTTTACTTAAAGTCAACAAACCTGAGCGACCACCTGTGGACTATGTGTGCTCCCCCGAGTGTGCTCGTGATTGTGTGTACCTTCTTATCTCTCTGCAACCTCTTTTCTCCCCTTCATTCCTTCCCCAGTGCAGGGTAGCAAACCGGATTGCGTCTGGTTAACTTCCCCGCCTTTCCTTGCATCTTTATCTCTCTCCCTCTCTCTATTAGAGGGGACTCTGGCACTGCGATCCTTCAGCGACCATGGGAATGATGGGTAGTACACACATTTGCCTAGTCTTCGTACTTGCGGGCAACAAATCGTACTTGCTACTTCGCTTATTGCTGAATAGAGTTTCTCTCCCACCACTAGTTCGTAGCTGCGTAATTTCCGCCGTACACATTATGGACTTGGAGACCTTACTTTGTCGTCAACGCTCACTGCCCATTGTCATGATGGCTAGAAAGCCATTGCTAAATGCAACATATGTGTGTTTGTGAATAAAAAAGATTTACGATAGACAAATAACAATCATAATGGTGACAGATCAATATAAAACACCTACAAGCTTGAACCCTTTGTTCTAGTCGGCGACCTCAACTTAGACATTATGGGCTTTAAGACCTAGCTTCGCCCACTCGTCATCCACTTCATGGAGGAGGAATAAACTGCCGTTGCTAAGTCAGTACGAGCACAGCACGAAAAAAGGGTTCGCCTTGTCTTTCATGAGTGCCACTATAGGCTTTTGCCGTCTTGTGTTACAAGATTGTAACACTTCCCGAACTTTGTTGAAACGTGTTTAAATAGGAGGAAAGGCTTGGCGATTTCCAGTACAATGTGCTCTAGAGGCGTGGATTTTTTTTTTTTTTTTGCCTCCCGGTCGTGTGCACCTTTTCGACGTCACATCCGCGACGAAATGATCACTTCAGTTTTGGTGGGCCACATCATAAAACACTTTTGTGTAAAAAAAAAGTCCCCGCCCTAACCATCCGTAGAATTGGTAACGTTGCAGCCCCGGTGTTTAGCAGTGGGTTCAACCCGACGCCACTCTGAAGCGTTTCACCATTATTGGTTACATTGTTCGTGCTTCTTAGTGTGGTTAGACACACGTCGGACTTGGGTTTACCACAGTGTTTATTTCACATGCCGCACACTGTGCCTCGCATAATCACTGTCACGGAGGAGTGTAATGAGCAGTTAAATGCGTTTCGCAATGCGTTAATCACAATGGTTCTCGATCCACACGCGGTCACAGACGTCGCAGCCAAAGAAGAGCCGCTGGAGAAACTCCTGCCAAGAGCAGGCGTTCGCAGCTGCAAGCGCGCTATCACGTTGACGCCGCTATCACGTTGGTGGCGCTAGCCACCGCCCGATCTAAAGGGTACAGCCATATCCATCCATTTATCCATCGGCTGCCAGATCATCGGTACGCAGTTGCTCTCTGGCCTTTCTTTCTTTTTTTTTACCGGACTGCGGCATCGACCCAACGAATGCGAGCTTTCTCACGTTTCCGCTGTCGGCGCTGTTCTGGAGTTGTCGGTGGCGTCATCAGGGATATCAAATACAGAGACAGCTGCAAACGCGTGTCTTGTGTGTGCTTGTTTGTGTAACGAAACCTTGGCGGTCATTTCTTCTTAATTCCCCCCCCCCCCCTTCAATAATCTAAAAGGGGGCACCAGGTCAATCCCATATATTTACTTCGTAGGGACCTGTCCCGTAATCTCTTAATGTGGTCCG